TTGCATTGAAGAAAATGAAATTAGGCAAGGCTTTAGGATCGGACGAGATTCCAATTGAAGTTTGGAAGTACATACAAAATGAGGGAGTGTCGTAGTTAACAAAATTATATAACAGAATTATTGCTACTAGGAAAATGCCCAATGAATGGAGAAAGTATTTTAGTACATATCTATAAAAATAAAATTGATTAGTCAAAATTGTTAATAATTATAGAGTGATAAAATTGTTGAGTCATACAACAAAATTATGAGAAAGGGTCATTGAACAGCACCTAAGAGTTGAGACTACAGTGTCGAAAAATCAGTTTGGGTTTATGTTGGGTAGATCAACTATAGAGGTTATATATTATTGAAGATACTCATAGAAAATTATAGAGAGAAGAAAAAATTTTATATAGTATTTATAGATCTAGAAAAGGCGTATGATAAAATACCTAGAAATATAATATGGAGGGTGCTTGAGAGAAAAGCAGTGATGAATAGGTCTATTGAGGTGATAAAGGATATGTATGACGGGGATATGACTAGAATTATGTCTTCAGTGAGAGAAAATAAAGAATTTTCAATTTTGATGGGATTACACCAAGGATCGGCCTAAGTTCATACCTATTCGTCCTAGTTATGAATAAACTCACTAGCCACATTCAAGATGATGTTCTACAGTGTATGCTATTTGTAGATGATATTGTATTAGTAGATGAAATTCGAAGGGGGATTAACAAGTTAAAAATTTGGCGAGAGACACTTGAGTCGAAAGGGTTTAAAAAATGTAGAAGTAAGACTGAATATATGCAATGAAATTTTAGTAATAAAAGTAGACATGGTGAAAAAGTTAAGATTGAAAATCAAGAAATACCACAAGTAAACAATTTAGATATGTAGAATCAATCATTAAAAATATTGGAGAAATTGTAGATGATGTAAGTCATAAAATCAATGTCGATTGGCTTAAGTGGAGGAAAACCTCTAACATATTATATGACAGAAGCATACCAATAAAATTGAAGGGTAAGTTTTATTGAACAGATACAAGGACAACAATGTTGTATGGAACAAAATGTTGGTCAACTAAGAAAAAATATATGACAAAATGAGTGTAGCGAAAATGATAATGCTAAAATGGATGTGTGAAAAAACTAGAAATGATAGAATAAGAAATGAGGAATAGCTCCAATTGAGAATAAGTTAAGAAAAAATAGACTAAGATGGTTTTGTCATGCTAAACAGACACCGATAGAGGCACCGGTTTGAAAAAGTGAGATAATTTTTCTTAACGGTACTAGAAGCTGGGATCGACCTAAATTAACATTGAACAAAATAATAAAAAAAAATATGAAAATATTTAACTTAAATGAGCGTATAGTGCATCATAGAAATGAATGGCGAAGATGGACTCATATAGCCCACCATAAGGTTTAGTTTGGTTTGGTTTGGTTATATAATGAAAATATAATATGATTCAATATGTAGTATTAAAAATTTAAGAAAAATTACAAAAATATCTTGTCCATTTAATTTTATTACAAAAAAAAAAAAAAATTCCATTATGTATGAACTAAGCCTTCCATTACATATGCGAAACAAAACTAAATAAATTTTAAGTCCTAATTACACTATAAAGTAAGCAACAGAAAAAAAAATACAAATTAGAAGAATAAAATCAACCAGTTGGTTGGGAAAATAAAAAAGAACTGAAAAAAAGTAAGAAAAAGGCAATTGTGTTATGATATTTTTGAGTCTCCGTCAATTAGACCTTTGAGACTTGAGAGAGAGAGAAAAAGAGGGACCAAGGTAGACAAGCAGTCTAGACAGAGAGAAAGAGAGAGAGAGGGAGAACTGGAGGACCGAAGATTTGGAAAGATAGATCGGGAGTGTCATCTGGTATTAGATCGAAGCTTCATTACTGCGAAGAAGATGTCATGGGTATTTGCTGCGATGGATTTCAAAGGTCCAAGCTTTCTAGGATTTCTTCAGTGCGTTTTTGCAAAGAAGAAAAATAAAATAACATGGTATTGATGATTTCAATATAAATTTAAAATATACGAGATGTAATTGAACTAAGTTTTGCATGTACTTTGCAATTTTTCATACATTCCATGACAATTTTTATTACATAAATATTTCAGTGCAATGCACCTAGTGGTAACGTTGACAAGATATATGCACGTGACTTTCACCCACACATGACCCGTACTTTGCACTGCACATGCCGCTTTCTACACCTTGTCCTATGGTGCTAGAAGATCTTGGTGGTACAGTGTTCCATTAGCATTTAACCACTAAAAAGTTGTGCACTGATGTATAGCAAACAGACATGAAATGTATTAGTCAAAAACAACTATTCACGGCAAGCCTAAAAGCGGAAAAGTTTTGTATCACCTAAAGAAGGCGCGAGTCAGGAAAGCAAATTGACCAAATCAAAGTAACATAAAAAAATCCGTAATCAAATAATATATTTTCTACTATTTTTTAGCACTTAAGCAAATTTTAAGCATAGTGGATCAAGGATCAAAATTTCGTTTCAAAGTACCGTTTCGGTCAGTTCAAAAACGGAAACGTTTCGGAAATACAATGGAAACGCAGAAAAAATATGGAAACACAAATATAATCTATTAATTTATAAAGATAAACTAAATAATTGATTAATTCAACATATTTATTAAGTTAACATCCATTTATACAAGAATAAATTTAAATTGGAGGGAAAAAAAAAGACTTTACATGAGGCAAAAATCACTTAAATTAATTTCAAACACTTAATATTTATCCAATAAACACATTTTTACATTATCAAACACATTATATTCATTCTACAAATTAAATATGACATGTAAAACACTTTTAAATTAAAATATTATCCAATTAATAATATTATTTTATTATAATACTAATAGAGAAGGGTATCAAATTTAAAAGGTATGAAATTTAATTAATGGTACTTATGTATACTTATGTAATTGCAGTGGGTATTAAATATAATTGTAGTGGAGTATTAAATGTAATTGTAGTGGGTATTAAATATAATTATAGTGGGGTATTAAATATAATTACAGTGGGGTATTAAATATAATTATTTATACTTATAACAAAAAAAAAATTAAAAGGCAAAAGGCCTGCACAGCAGTGGGTATTAATTGTAATTACAGTGGAGTTTAAATGTAATTACAATAGGGTTTAAATCTAATTATTATATTTATAAGCAAATATATATATATATAAAGGCAGAAGACCTGCACAGTTCAACATCGAACGAACGAACAGAGAGAGAAAAATACAGAGGCGAGAAGCGTAGGCGATCGCGATGGGCGATGTCGATGCCAGAGAAAGAGAGAGAAGAAGAAGAGAAGAACATACCAGTGGACCAGTGGTGGCTCGTGGTCGCAGCGATGAAGACAGAACAACTCTCAAGCCCTAGATTTGTGTGGAAAAGGGTTGGATCTACTCAAATCTAGAGTCAAGAGGCAAGTTACAGTAATTTTTCCAATTTTTGGCCTATAGTTCTCTCTACCTCTTTGATTTCGTTGGTGTCTCTCTCTTTCCCTTCTCTCTGTTTCTCTTTCATTTCGTTGGTGCCTTTCTCTTTCTCTTCTCTCTGTTTTTTTTTTTTTTGCTTGAAAGACCTAGACTTGGACATAAATCAGACATGTGATTTCTGAGATCTCTAATTTTTCCCCTTTATTTTTTTGGCTTGGAACTGTGAATTCTGACTTTGTGGAATCTGCTTTATGAGCCTCTCTCTTTTTTCTTTGACCTGGAGTGAACGAATCTATCCACTATTTCGTCGAAATGGTACTATTTCCACCAAAACGGTCCGAAATTGTGCCGTTTCGACCGAAACACTAGAATTTGGGAATTCAACTACTGTTTCGTGTCGGAGTGTTGAAATTCCGAAACGTTTCGGACGTTTCGACACGACATTTAGATCCTTGTAGTGGATTTTTTGAAAACAACCGCAAAATTTACTTAGAATACTTAAAAGATCAATAGAGACGCCATTTCAAATCGTGTCATACGATAACTAAGCTAGGAAATTAAATCTAATTAAACAGCACCCACTGTGGGTTAGTTTGATTCAAACTAGTATGTGCATGATATGTACAATGTTGTTAGCGGGGGAACCAACTAAAACTCCATCAATAAAAATTCTGAGGAATTTTTTAAGGAACTTTGTTACGAGGTGGTGAAACTTAAAGAAGCACAGATTCAAAAGTTAAAAATCACAAGAAACTACGTGACAGGTCACCTGTTAAACATAAGCCTAGTTTCCTACAACTTTCCAAGAACTATCCTTAGAGTAGGTTCTAAGGCATTTACACGGGTAAACCTAGGAACCGGAATTGATTATTTAAGTATCTTGCACAGTTCCCACGGACTCAACTAGATTATAGATAATATCACCCTCTTTTACTGTATATGATTTGCCAGCCTCCAGTAAAGCAAGTTAAAATTATGTGCACTGAAGACTTATGCTCTATCCTGTTAAAAATGAAATACCAATATGAAAACATAATGCGGATCACTTAGGACTCGTTTGGTAACGTTTACAGTTTTTGATTTTCTAAAAAACGAAAAACGTCTTTTTCTCATTTTTGAAAATCGCCCCTCATTTACAAAACGATGACAGAAAAAAAAATAAAAACGGTTATCAAACGAATTTTTTTTTCTTGTTTTCTTTAAATATCAAAATAAAAACAAAAAACGAAAAGCATAAACGTCACCAAACGGGACCTTAGTTAAAATTAATGTTATATGTGAAGCAGTACTGAAACATTGGTAAAAATCAAATTGCTCAAAATTGACAGTCTCAAAGACAAGGTAACTGCAACTTAGTAGAAATCATAGCAATATATTAAAATGGAAAAAAAAAATTCATTTGCCAATTTTAACTATAAATAGATCGAATCACACAGCACACAGATGAAATACCAAAGATATGACATAACATGAGACATGATCTAACTAATCGTACTTTGACATAGAAAATATACTCTCAAAGAAGATCAAAGCGGAAAACAAGCACATAAAGTTGATAACTTTTTACCAACTGTAATTGGATCCGTTGATGCAGAAACAGGTTGCCCCTCAACTCCGTCCTCTCTTACAGGAGTGTAAATTGCAACAAGCCTGTAGCCAACGTCATCAACATTCGCTTCATACATCCTTCCAGTCTCCCCTGCAACATCACATCACTTGCAATCAACCCTTGAAATGTAAATATTGAAGCTGGATCTTGCAATGAAATTTCAAAAACTTTAGCCTAACTATGATGTGACAGCTGATGATGGGGTTCAATGACAAACTAGCATTACAATTTTTTGGTTTATGACTATGGTATTTGTATCCCACATTGAAATATTAGAGCCACTAGAGGTTGATGGCCTCTCCATCCATTCCCAATTGGTCTTTAGTTGGATGATCTAAGTTGGTATCAGAACACGCCGAATCGTGGATTGAAGCCAGGCTTTCAAGGGTATATTTGCTACTTCCAAACACTGGTCTATTAAATATTCCTCGTTACTAGTAAAAAGCAATTTCTAATTGAACCTCTGCTTCCAACATTCCTTACCTAATAGCATGCAAATCAAATATTAAATTATTAGGCAATAATTGGTCCAACTATTGACTAAGTGACCAAGTGAGATAAGCTAAAATGGACTGATATAGATCCAAATTTTGATTATGATTCTGCATTGCCTTTCCTCTTTAACAACACTCAACTAATCGTATGATAAGTGAAAGAATGATTGCGAGACAGAGTTAGTTAACAAAAAGAAATAATGAATATCGAAGACAAAGTCTCCACATACATTACACAATTTATTCATGTCTAAAACATAATCTCAATAATTCAGCATACCACCAATAGAGATGAGGTCAGGACTTCCAACCATTGACCTAAGCCACTGGATTCTACTTTTGCCCTCCTTTCCTCCACTATAATTGCCACGAACAGCATATAAGTTGGTGTGGAAACCTCTACCCTCAATCTCTAGCTTATCTATTCTAGGGAGCCCTGATGAGGAAAAAAAACATATCTTCTACATGAAAAAATAATTACAGCAACAAACAAAAACTAGCCAAATTAATACTTCTTGATAAAAGAAATAATGATTTCAATAACCACTCAAACAGCGAGATAGAAGGCAACCTTCTTTAGTTGAGAAGAAAAAATTTAGACTAGATAAGAAAAGTAAAATATGTTCATCACTTGTATTAGTTCCACCATGGTTGTGCCTTTTATGTCTTAAGCAACTTTAGAAAGTCGTACTGTGGATCCATCCAAAAATCCTTGACTGCAGAGGATTGCAACTTCATTTATATATCAGAAAACTAAACTATTTAAAGCAATACACTAATATTGCAGATGCAAAAAATTGATCCAAGGAGGCAACCATTTATTTCAAAATATGTTATGATTTAACCAACAACTAGGTTAAGCTAATCATTATTTTTCACTTTTAACACTGCATCAGGGAAATTGAGGTTTAAAAACGATATACACTGCAATTAAGGAAACTGGCATTATCATAGCAGGCAATATAATATAGGGCTTGGATGCAATGTGAAAACTAGAATAGAGTCGGTAATGAACATGGGCAAGCCACAATTTTTGGCAGAAATCAACAGTTAGAGAAAGATAAGATAACTAATTGAGGGGCCACGTTGAGAACATCAAGGCTGTGGGGATATGGGGTTCCACCAAAGGTAATGGACAAATTCCAATTGGCTGGCCTAAACTGAACCAACATGAGCTGCAGCCGGAACAGCCACTATAAGAAAAAGAAAGTTTATCAAGTTGCATCCACTTTGCTTTCTAAAATTAAAATGAAGTGGACATTTAATTCTCAAACTCTCTGTAACCAATCTATGTACTAACCTTGGACTTCAAGGAAATTAGACCCTCTTTTCTGTACCTCTTTTTCTCTATTGGATATACAGACTCACATTAATAACCTAATCCTAATGTAACGGTATTTCAACAACTAAATTTGCCATTCATGTAAAAAAAAAATATATAGGCAGAGATATGGTTAAAACTTCAAATCAGTGAGTAGCAATGGAGTTCTTTGTTAGTGAAGACATTGAAAACCTGGCAAGACAGAGGCGGTTTCAACATATGCTGGCTCACTGGACCTTCCAAACACATCAGTCATGATGCATTCACACCTAAGACAGTGACCAATGTCCTCAAACCGTATCTTATACGAGCAAGAACGCTGGGATGGTAATGGCTCAAAAGACTCGTTATTTCCTGTTTCAAACGAACAAAACCTGCACCATTCATCAGCTATTGCATCAGAGGCAGACTCTACTCATTAGAAATATATGTTTATATATACTATTAGGGCTGCATAACAAGGGCAGAATTTGGCTCAAATATGAAGCCAAAAATAAGTTTTCATTGTAGGTTAAATTTGGACATCTTCAGAGAGAAGAAATTGAGTCGATCATGAAAGTCAGATTCACACATTCATGTTACTCTGGAAAATTGTACATGTAACTTTTAATCTCCAACATCAGTTGCCATAACAAGCATTTCAAATAAAAGTGCTAAGAAGCTAGGAAGTAGAGCTATACCACTGATATCTGACATCTTTCTTGTACTTTCCCCAAACATGCTGTTGACTTTCACTGTTTGGAAGAACTTCAACAGCAGTAATTACCGCTCCTTCAACTGCCTTCCCAGTAAGAGCTAGCATCTCAATTCTTGGTATCTCTGAAGTGCAATGTAATTCTCAGATTCAAATTGAAAACTGAAGATTTTTCAGGTATTATGTAGGAAGGTTGAACATGCACTGATGGCACAGAATAGAAATAGTTCCAATTACGTTTTGCTGATAAAAGTCTATCAATAAATGCAAATGAAATCAATCTCAACATCGAAAAGCATATTTGCGTATCAGAAGTTTAAAAAAAGAAGGTAGAAGCATCAGCCAGGTTAATTAAAACAGCTAGAAAAATCTTAACTTTGATAGTAAATAACAGTACACAAGCATCAGCAATCCGACATTATAGACAAAAGGGCAATCGTGATTCTTTGAAAAAAAAATTGGGAAGTCTTTAGGCAAGATCCACATCCCATAGTAAGAGCATCTTTTTTAAAATAGAGAGCATCTTTAGTACAAAGTTACAATAGAGAGTGAATTTTTACACACCACTCTAATAGGACTAGGACTCTCTATTCCTATCATTTTATTATTATGTTTTGTCTTTTTTGGCAATAAATTTGACTTCCCTCCTATTTTTTCACCATTATTTTAAATGAAATACGTTTATCCTAAATGTCTCGGATGAAAAGATAAATATATCATTTTTCTGTTCCAAAAAAAGTATAGTAGAGAGTGAGTTTGACTCTCCAAATGTAGAGAGTCAAATTGGACTATTTATTTGAGAGAGTTTAAATAAAGAGTCCATTAGAGAATAAATTTTAAGGATTGACTCTCTATAATAGAGAATTGAGTGGGAATAGAGAGCTTATTGGAGATGCTCTAAGGCAACTTAAACATACAAGTAAAAAGCTTCCAATATGGAAACAGAATTTTATAAGCACATATGAGACAAAACAATGTTGCAGTAACAGGCACCATTTTACCTTGTCTTCTACTGTCAGAGCTTCAGAGTTATAGTGAATGCACAAGATAATTTTGACATGGCAACATAGTAATAGTAGAAAGCACAGAAAAGCTCAAATATAGTGAATCACTGAATCTTATGTTTGACATGGAGAAATAGGAAAAACATTTCAACTTAGCTAGATTTATTGGTTTGATGAAAAAAAAACCTTTCATTACCCATATCTAATAAATGAAAATGGCTGGCTGAATAAGTTTAAAATTTGTGCTGTAACAACATAATTGAAAACACTGAAATGAGAATATTCACTTCTATTGGTTTGTAAACAGAATATGTACAGCATCCAAAGAATTTCACAAATAAAGCATAAAAAAACCCAACACTCGCATTCTTTTGCATAAAACAGTATTATCCATCCACAGCAATATTGAGTAATCAATAATATAACAAGGAAAAAATAGTACCAACAAGAACTTGAATGAGCAAGAGTAGAGAGCAAAAAAACTCAACAAAAAAAAAAACTTTTAAAAAAGGAGCAGAGGTGTGACCTTATAAGATTATAAAGATACATACCCGCAATGCAGAAGTTTAAAATTATTCAGAGGCTATGCAAATCTACAACCTATATGGATAAAATTTGTATCAAGCTGTTGCATAGGAATAGTAGTACCTGGGAGAATCACATCTGTGTGCTCAGATAATCTAAGTTCTCCAACAAGTGAGTCGGCACGAACTGGTGTATATCTACAAAAAGCATACAACAAATTTTATGTAAACTACAGCATGTTTTAAAACAAAAAAAATATATATATGTAAACATCCTCAGACAGAAACTATATGTTACTAGCCATTTAAAAAACAGACGATACGTGTATATATACTAATTGCAATTAATGCCCTTAAACAGAAGCCTTTTTAAGCTTCTGGAATGCAATAGAAAAAAATTCTTGCACAGAAAAATAATGTTGTTACCATCTATCAATGCCAAGACTAAATCATGATTTGGCCCATATTGGAGGAGGGTCATAAAATTGACATAAGCAACTGCATCAGGACATGTTAACCTAGACGGACTTAAAATCATGACAATTTTTATATGTTGGTTTCAGATCACAAGCAGATTTCATCATAATCACTCTCAAATCATGACAATTTTTTCGTCAATGATGGTCTGTTAAAGAGGGTCTCCACCAAGTCACAAACAAGATGCCAACCAAACCCTCTCAAATTACAATTCTTTTGAGCAGCGAGTGCCTGGTATTCACCAACTATCATTTTCCTGACAGCAGAGTTAGTTGCTTGAGTTGGCTAAAAGTTGTTGGTATTTGGTGGGTAGTGGAGGGTTAAAGTTCATTCACTTTTGAGGATATAATATGCAGATAAATATAAGAATGACTTCCATCAAAGCTAGAACAAATTCTTGACCATTCGTTTATTTAAATTAAGTATTGCATATGCCTTCGACATTACAGACACGAGTTTCAAATCTATGGTTATCCGTTATTTAAACCCCAAAACAAACATGTGGTTTTCTACAAATATCTGCATTGACATCGCATTCTGAATTTCAAAGGTTTTTTGAGAATTCCAAAAATCAAATGTATGATTATATGGGCACCTCACAAAATACTGAAAGGCACTCCATCTATCTTTCTTCAAATTGTAAAGTGACAATACTTTTCATAATGCTGATGGTTAATTTTTGAAAGATAAGATGCTGATACAATCAATGAGCTGGTGAAAGGGTAATTGGTAGTTTAGAAAAAAAAAAGGAGAATAGAGTTCATAGTATTTTGTTAAGTGTAATTATCATTACTCTTAGAGTATTACTTTCCTATTATGTTACTTTACAATTACTCTACATTCCTATGGCTTTCCTAATATGTTCTACTTTCCTAATATTATAGTTCTCTTCAATATCAATCAATTACAAACGGGTGATAGGGTGTTGGCAACCCACACCCTACACACTATCGTTTCATAATCATTTCATAGTCACTTTTGATTCTTCTCTTTCTTTTCATAAAACCTAAAATTCAATTATTCAAATTGCAAATTGGTACCGAAGGATATCCCTAGGCGCACTCCACTCACCTAGTGGTTAGGCAAACCCAGCACACATAAAAGTTGTAGTCGTGTGCGTATTGGCCAGTTATTGTTGTAGCGAGAATCATTCTAAATTGCAATTTTCCTACGTCAGCGTCTTCATCCGTTGTTCATCAGTTGCTGCCATTATTTTCAGTTAATGTGGGGTGCCTAAATCCGTGTTCGTGTCTTCGGTGTCTAATTATCGGTGCAGATTTTAGTGTTTTCATTACGACCTAGTATTGGTTCAATGATATTCGGCCCTATTTAGTTCTCGGTGCAGATTTTAGTGTTTTCATTACGACCTAGTATTGGTTCAATGATATTTGGCCCAATTTAGTTCTCATTTAATGGTTTTCAAAACAGTTCAATTTTGATGTAGTGTTTTCAACTCAGTTTAGTGTCGGTTTTGTGGTTTTTAGGCCAATTTGGGGCTGCTTTAGTGGTTATATCCCGGTCCAATGCCAATTTTGGAGTTTTTAGCGCCGATTCAAACCCGATGTGCAGGTTGATACCTTGCCTATGGTTCTTTGAGGTGTTGCTGGATGTATTGTGGTTCTTTGTGGTGTTGCTAGTTGCATTCGTTTGTACTCACATTGTTGGTAATGGTGCTGGTGTTGTTGTGTTTGTCCTTTGTTGTCACCATCTTTTTCTTTCTCTAGATCATTTTGGTAATCGTTTGTTACTGCTATTTTGGTGTGGTCGTTGGTTGTTTCTTTGTAAAACCAAAAGAATGTTTTAAACTTCATCTGAAGTAATTACCTACGTTAGGTTTGTTACATGGGGGAAGTACCGTGGTAGTATGTTGATTACAAAAGTCCCCAAATTGTCTAAACCAATCACCCAAAGCTTGGTTTTACCATCCTTATTGTCTACGTGGAGATATTACTGTCCAGTCAGTGATTTTCTCACCAAGCCATCGGCGCAGTCCACCTTTAGTAACCTTTGTTAATGGACATTTTTTTATCTCTATGCTCAAGGGGGTAGTGTTAGAATATTATTTTCCATTATTCTATTTTCATATTATGTTACTTTCCTATTATTCTAATTTCCTATTAATGTTTCGTAACCAACAAAAAGAGGGAGGCAAGAGCAATTTCAGCAAGAAGCTCACCATCGGGACGCTAGGAGCATCATCTTTTATTTACTATCTTCTTTTCTTTCTTTTCATAAACTCTAAAATTCAATTATTTAAGTTTCAACTATTACTCTGTTGCAGTAAAATTCCATTAACTTATAAAAGAATAACATATTTTCTCTAGCAATAATGTTCATTCTGTAGTGTTTTTTTAGTCAATTGTAACATTTACTTAATTTTTTAATCATCATATTCAAACAAGGACAACCAAGCTAAAATGAGAGAAGAGACATTTACCCAAACAACAAACGACAATTATAATCTGTATCTGTAACTATGTAAGTTTTAGCACTGGCTCCATTGATGAGAATGATTGTTCCCTCGTCCGTTTCTCTATACCAGCTAAACAAGCTTGATCCTTCATGTCCACCAAAATATTGTCCTTCCCCAGAATAAGCAGATGAGGACACTTGCTTCACACGAACATTAGAAACTACTGGAAGAGCTGCAACATTATTTTACTTCGACATGTTAAGAGCAAAACGGATACAAAATCAAAACTAAAAAATTTGGATGCTGTTGAAGCCAATGGAAAAGGACCAATTATAATACTCTATTTGCACAACATAAAAAAGATTAACCATTACAAAGGCTCCATATAAGTGGTACTATTACAATAAGAATGTCTATAACCACACGACCTCTTGAAATTTGTAATAAAAGACCAAATACAATGCGATCCAGATGAATTAATTATAAAAGACTCCATGGAACACCAAATCAGAACCATTATAATTGACAGATTAGTGTGAATGGTGGGTCCAAGAGCTAATAGCTGCTAAGACCAATACGAACCATCCGATAGGATGAGTGGACAGATAAATTTAACTGGCACCTATTGAAGAAAGGAAATGGCACTCTACCTGGTGTGACTGGAGCGTCGCAAATTGATACCAATGGCTTTCCACAATTGCCATCTGAACGAGTTGGCAGCCAATATAAAGCCAAATAGGACCCCACGTCTTCAAGTGAAGGGGTGTATGTTCTGCCAGAGAAGTAATTGTTAACTGAAGTTTATTTGAAAGATAGAGAGATCAACTTGGAATCCATCATACAATATATTGTATGATGGATATAATCTACATATTGCATAACTTACAAAGTGTTGCTACATATAAAAACATCCTCAGCAGAATTCGATATGTCCATCAGAGCAGATTCATGGAGCTTAATTTTCGTCCTGTACCAAATATATTGTCCAACACCTTCTTGTCCTCCGAAGTATGTCTTTTGAGGGACAACTTCCTTGTCCTCACAGCAATCAGGAATTTGCAGCCCCACACCCATAGGGCCCGCTGTTGCATGTAAAGTTGTAGAAATTATGTGCCAGTAGATAGAAAAGTTTAGAAAGTGAGATTACTGTGACACAATTCACAATGATAAAGGCCTGAATTAAGTGTGAATGACATTCACTATTCCAAACGAGGAATGAATAATATACAGCCTGGCAACAATTATGATCTATACACAGTATACTTAACCATGAAGCGTTTGGGTGCACCACAGCAGCAGCAATTTTACTGCTTAATGCTAACAGATATCCAAAGTACTTTGTTGTGTCTAGGTCATGTTCAAAGAGTTTTTCGTTACTTGGAGTTCATTAACAGATTTACACATAAGCTCAGATAGGTTTGAAGTCTTTTATATTTCATATCTAAAGCCTTCATTAGTAGCAGCACAGCATCCAAAAATATATAACAGTTTGAGGGGATAAGTTAATAAATAGCCTAACAAAAAGGCTCATGCAATACAAAGATGGACTCAGAGTTCAGGTGAATAAAAATATTTACTAGTAGCAGCATAAATTTTATCTGCTTTCTCACTTTTCCGGTGGGTAAGAGAGAGTATTACAAAAAGCCCTGGAGAATTTGTTGTTGAACATGCCAGAAGGTATACTGATATCCAACCTACAACTGTTCAACAAGGTTAGGCCAATTACTATACCACTTCTCATAGACCAAAAAGGTGTGGATGACATCACACCATTTTTTCCCTTAACTGAAGATATTTGTTAGTTTAAAATAGGTTCTTTCATTACAGCAACCAATTCCTTTCTTCTTAAGTATTCCAGCAAGCTTTCTTAAACACGTTTAAAAAAATTGCAGCTCCACACTCTCCACAATAAAAACAAATGAGATGCAGATAATTAGAAGACAACTTATACTTGTTTTGGAGAAGAATCATGCTCATTCAGGAGCATCCCTACATGGCTACATCATTGTTTAATTCATCCCAGTGTTGCAGAGAAACTAAAAAGGCCTTGGAAAACTTTCTTTGGGCAAGGGATTAGGAGGTAAGCAATGATCAATCAACTAGATGTGAGTGTGTAAAGAGAGCTTGTATGCCCTACCGAATAACTTGGATCATTCAAGGTTGGTTTATATGCTTTAAGAGTCTTCCCACTCATGGCCAGTTGATTTTAATCTAGGAAGCATGGATACGGATAAGAGATACGGGTATAATACGATACGGATACGGCAAAACCCCAAAAAATATGATATGGGTACAGCCAGGATACAACTATAAATATATATATTTTATATTTAAACTATTACGAGATGACTTAATAGAGATAATTTTTAGTGATTCTTTAATAACAATAAACAATATTAACAAGTTTTTATTTTAAAATAATTACCTATCGTCTCACTATAGTACATCTACAAAGTGAACATAATTAATTAAATGAATAAGAACTAAGATTTAACTAGATTGTTTGCTTAGGAGTATTTGTTGCTAAGATTATAGAGTAATCAGTTCATTTATACTCTTTGGACATGTGATAAAGTATAATACTTGGAACATACTCGTGTCTTCAAAGTCAAGAATTTTTGTTGATGTATTATATTGTATGTGAAATCAAAAAGAAGAGGTAAAGATTAAAACTAAAAAATATACATACTTATTTGCATATAGAAGTATCTGTGAACTATTCATATATATATTTATTATTGGATGCATTTAGTGTATATTTGATACATAACCTTGAGTATCTAATGAGTATTGTATCTTATACGAATATATCGATCATAATGAAGTATCTATGCTTCATAATTTTTGATACTCTAACATGGTATTAGAGTTGGCTCTTGGATGGTCAGCGGACCAAACGTCTAACCCATTTAAATTTTTTGATGTACATGTTTGTTTGCTTGTTTGTTTGTTATGTTTGAGCCTATGTCCCACATAAGAAAGGGTGTAAAGAAAGCTTGTATCCCACATCGAATCATTAGGAACACCCAAGGTTAGTTATATAATTAAGGGGCCTCTCCACTCATTGCCAAATAGTTTTGAATTATATGTCCTAATAGCAAGACCATGTATTGTTACAAGATAAAAGGCAAGAATGGCTCAAGATATGTCCTCCATTGTTTCTTGATAAGAAGTTGTTTCACCACAAAGGGTATAGGATGGACTTAAACTATGTTGTTTGTCTATTTACATCCCTTGTGACATATAGTCACTACGTTGTATCCTTCTTGTTGCTTTTTGAGTCCAAGATGTCAATGATTGCAAAATTTTGCAATATAGTTGGTGAGAGAGAGAGAACTTAGCGGTGACATTGGGGCCACAAGCATGTATAAAGGTAGTTTCACAATAAATTAGACTACTTCAAATACTAACAATTCAAAGTACTATGTCATTAACAACACAATAGTTAATAACTTAAACAGTCTCGGAAAGAGATGCATGTTGGAACTGAGTCAAAACATTTATTGACTTTCTCATAATGCCTCAAAAGATTGGCGTTTCCAAAAAAACTCAACTATTAAACCTTGTATTATGGAAATACTTAACGAAAGTTTTGTTATAGTGCAATGTATCATTGTGTCAATATTTCTAATTTTTTATTTTAACACCAAAGAGCTTAAGGAAAGCAAATTTTACTCTAGAATGGGCAATGCAATAAGAAAAACTAATTCGAAGATGTGACAGGCATAGCCAACCCAGCTCCAGAAGTACTGTTCAAATACCATATACATTTACTGAATTAGACAAGAATAAGCAAGCAATTACTCCACATTGGCCAAATAGTAAAAACGATTAAAATCCAGAAGTATATACACTCACTATTCTCAATAAAAGATATTCATAAGCAAACAAAACAGCTTATACGATTGTTCCAGAGTCGAAGAAAAAAGGCGGTCTTATGATACTAAAACTAGCATACCAAGAATTTCCAATAAGCTGATAAAACAAGTAGGGTCATCACAGAATTTGGTACCAGTTTTCTATGAGGATGGACTTTGTACAGTCCTAAACTTTGGTTACATTTATGGTGAATTTTTCACAATGGAAGGAACAACTCACCAGGAGCAACGGGACTGGATATTACACTCCTCGAAGTCCCTTTCAATCCATCTTTTCGCACAGGTGTGTAAACAACTTCCACAGCACCTCCCACATCCTCTAAAGTTAAATCTAAAAACCCTGCCAAAGTAATAAGTTCACTATTTAGCAGGTCCCTAGACATACTGGGAATAAAAAGCATCTGAGAATTGAAAAGGCAAAACATACCACCAGCATTCAGTTTCTCCCTAACACCACTATCCTTCACCCTAAACCATTCATACAAACAGTCCCCCTTTTCACTGAGCAAAAAATAAAAGGATTCAAATTCAGAAATTAGAATAAAACATGGGTAGAAGCTAAGGTTATGTCAAGCCAATGGTTCACCAATTCTCACCCTCCACTGTAAGATGCAACAAAGCTCAAACGCTCTCCTTCAATAAATGATCCAAGAAATTCAAGCGACTGGCAAGTCGGTGGCCCTGCAATAAAAAATTCTATTCAAAAGCAGCAATTATTGTGATACCGATTCTCCAGGGAACAAAATTGGATATCCATAATCAGTGTAAGTGGCTAATAGACCTTCATTATATAAGAATAGGAAAGAATGCAACTCATGTATGAAAAAAAAATTATTCAAAAGATGCTGAAAAATCTATGAATATTACCAGCTACAATTGGTCCAATTTGTTCAGAAAGGACAATGGGACCGCGGGCCCAATCAATTCTGACAGGCTCACATGAAACCGATATAAAAAGCCCAATATCATCAACAGAGAGCATGTATGATGAATTAATGGCACCATTAACTTCAATTTGGATGCCATCTGAACTAATCTGCATGCAACACTTCCATTATTGAGCTATGGTAGCAGTAAATTATGAATTATAATGTAAGACTAGGTAATGTAAATAATCATTGAAAAGTCAAGCTTTGCAACAACAGGCAAGGAGGAAATCACTATTAGTATAGAGATCAACATACTCGGAACCAGCGGAAAACTGAGTCTCCCTCATCACCACCCCAATATTTTTTTTCAACACTTAGCTTAGTGCCTTCGATAGCAGTTCCAACTATGTGTAGAGAAAGCAACCTCGGGCTTCCTAATGATCAAGGAGCATTAAACAATAATAAGTTATGTCAGCACTTAATTTAAATACCTCCACATCCAGAATCAGACGCTAGCTCAACTCCCAAATGTAAGCAAGGATGCAAGCAGCACAAATAAACTGTTTCTTAGAACAGAACACATTATAATGATTTTAAAACCACAGGCACCAGATACTCGCGCCGCCGGAAAAAATATTAGTACACAGCACATGCAAAACGCCATCAAGAAAAATAAAAAAATAGGCATCTCATGTAAAACGAACATAAGCAAGAGTAACCGGCCCCTACCGAAACCAAAAAATACTGACAGTCTAAGAGCTGCATCCATGCCAGAGAGCATCCAGATTCCAAAATTTCTTCGATACTCTTGGTTCCATCCAAGATTGATAAGTGCATTATGATAAGATTGAACACTTCAAAAGGCACAGTCTAGTCTCTTTCTTGTTTGTAAGGTTTTATATTCTCTCGTGCTATTTGTCATTACTGTGCACTATTTCTCTCTTTCCCGCTTTTCTTAGCATACTATGGTCCCCCTGACATTGCTTGCACATACCCATAGCTTCAAATATAAAATCCAAAATGTTGGACAGTTGGCAAACACCTCGTTGGCTCTTTACATCAGACGAAACAAGCCTTGTGATATTAGCATAACATTCTTTTAACAAAAAAAGAAATTTCAATCCAAAAAGAAATACTCATTGATAATGATGTTGCACCCACATAATTTCAAATCTAAAAGGAGTTGGGCCCCATTGCACTCAATTCCAGAGTAATCAGACACTTGTCAAACACGACTCAAACTAAAGTTTCTTGTCTAACATTTGAAAAACAGCCCTCTCATTCTAATGAAATAAAAAACAATCTAGCCTTTTGCAAAACCAATTATTTCCAAAATTTGTTAGTGTAAAGCTCCCATTACTCAAAGGTGACTTCTGCAGATTAGTTTCCCTAATTAACTCATTGAACCCCTTCATACTTCTAGTCAGCCTTCCCCTTGCATTTTCTCAGTCACATATCTAACTACAATAATATCTTCCACTAAACGCCACCTCATGTTAAACAACCATACAAAACCAGCCAGCTCTTCCCCAGAAACTCCTCCTTAACCAAGATTTATTAGGCCCATAGATTCAGGCAACAACCAATATACTCCACCATCAATTCTCAAATATACAAAAACTTAAAATCACCAATTAAAAACATTATCCTAACATCCAATATAACCCCTATATCCCTGATTTGATTTACTACATGAAGGCAATAAATCCCAATCCTTAAACCAAACTCTCAACCCCCAGAAACTACAAACAACCCATCTAATCACTATCACCTAAGAAGCACGGATACGGACATGGGTGTCGTATCCGATACGATACGGACACAGCGATACGGAAAAATTCCAAAATGTAGGATACGGGTACGGCGAGAATACGGCTAATTAAAATAATTATATATATTTTTATATATATAACAACATAATAATAACAAACAAGACATAGCAAACATTACTTAAATTGAAATAGATCAAAATTCAAAAAATATATATAATTTTCAAAACCAACAGGCAGCAGCACAGATGACCAAAAAAAAAGCTAGCTAGGAAATTACAACAAAAAAAAGAGAAGACAAAAGCACAACAAAAAAGAGAAGACCAGCGGCCAGCAAGCAACACAGCACCAAAAGGCAACAAGTTAGGAAAGCAATTTTTAATTTTTAAAACCAGTTGGCAGCAGCACACTAGCACAGAAAAGCAACAACACAATGACCAAGACCAAAAAAAATT